GGGGGGTGGAGTAGAGCTGAACCCAAATCCCCCTTATCCTTAGTTTCATCTATTGATGTCTCCACCATTTTCCATCCTCAGAGAAACTGAAGACAACGCCAATCCCTCTCACAAGTGAGTAACATTACTGTTTGTTGTAGTCATAGATGTATATTATGATAAAATCCACGACGCAGCACTTTGACGTAGTTACGGTTCTCTGTAGAGTGCACCATTTGGCTCTATGGAAACCACAGACAAGAAGGACAAAGAGGGATAATTTACACACGCACTCTACTAAGGCGAGAAGAGTGTTTTACCCTTCATTTGCACACCCATGATGCGCATCAAGCAGAGAAGTGTGTGTGTGTGTGTGTGTGTGTGTGTGTGTGTGCGTGTGTTTGTGTGAGTGTGTGTTTGTGTGTGTCAGTGTGTGTGTGTGGTGTTTGAGTGTGTGTCTGTGTGTATGTCTGTGAGTGCGTGTGATGTGTGTGCTGTACTGTCCTATGTTACGCCATAGTGTGGCATGACAAGGCGTATTATGGTAACGCAGAGGGTTTTTCGCAGCCTTTCAATAATCAAATATTTCAATGTACTATATTCCAAATAATCAGCATCTCATTGCAGCTTGACAAACGACTGACCCTTTCTTCCCTCTTTACCCTCTTCCTCTTCTACACCCACCCTCCTCACCTCTCCCTATCCACTCTCACCATCCACGCTCTCCCTTTCTCCCATCTTCCACCCTCACCCCACTCTCCCCATCTCCCATCTTTCTATCCCCCCTCTTTCCCTTCTCCCCTTCTTCACCATCTAACCCTTCTCCTCTATCATCTCCCCCTTCTCCTCACTCTCCCTCCTCTCTCCCTTTCACAGCTTGTGGTGAAGCCAACCCCGCAGACATCTACTTCACCTTCAGCCCGGCAGAGCTTGGTCTGGAGCAGACTTCATGGACCACGTCATTCATTGGCACTTTGATCAAGCAAGAGCAGATGGAGGACGGCTTCAGGGTAGGGTTTCCG